ACCAGTACCACCCATTACCCCAGTCCCCTGCACTGGGATCCCCCAGAGCTGCCCCTCACCTGCCCCCTGGGGTCTCCCATCACCTCCAAGCCCTCTGAGCCCCCAGACCCAATGGCCCCCCTCACCCAGTATCTCCCAGTCCCGATACTGGTGTGTCCCCATGGCACTGCCCTGTCCACCCTGCAGGTAGCGCTCCCCCCACCTCTGGCAGGTGGAATGGTCCGAGCGGCCCGGCTGGAGCAGCACGGGTGGCTCCATTCCCGCAGGGCAGGGATGCCCCCGGGGTGGCTCCGCGCAGAGGCCCCACGCTTCGGGCAGCGCCGAGGGCTGCGTGGGGCTGTGACACCCTGGGCTCGGAGTGGCCACACGTAACGTGTGGCGCCTGAGTTCAGGTTTGCCCCCTGAGCTGTGGGGGGCCATGGGGCCCTGTGCTTGGGGCAGCCCCATAGGCTCTGCAGGGCCCTAGGCTTAGGGTGGCCCCATAGGCTGTGTGGGGCTGTGAGCTGGGGGCTGCCCCATAAGCTATATGAGGTTGCGGGGCTCCGGGCTTGCGGCAGGCCCCTAGTCGTCCCAGCTGATGCAGGCGGGCTGCTGTGCCCCTGCAATGGCATGCCAGGGACTGTTTTAGCGCCTTTGCTGTGATTTGTTACCCAAAAACGCTGGCTGGCTGGGTGCTGAGCACATGGGAAAGTCACCTTGTTTTTCCTGTTCTTCTGCAACAAAGGGGTGGTGCCACGGCAGGGTGGTACCATGGTCTCCTCCCTGGAAGCCTCAATGCCGGAACCAAGGCTCAGCACAGAGCTTCCTGCAAAGCCCAAATCCCCATGCTTGGCTGTGTGCTGCGCTGCTGGGCTCTTGCAAGCCTGTGAGTTTGCGGGTTTAGGTTATTGGGAAGTTGCAGTGCGCTGCATCGTGGCTTGGGAGCGCAATTGGGTTTGTCTCAGTAATGCTGATGGTGGTGTTTTGGGAAGAGGGCAAGTCAGATCATCTTTTAGGAGGCTGGTAAAGCTGTTGATTATGGGCTGAGCAAGTCACCTATTTGGGCCATTTAGGAGGATGTGAATAGCGCAATTTGGCTGGAAGAGCTGAACTGGATTAGAGAATATTGTTTGTTTCTGTGCTGGTCTAATCCCTTAATTCTTGTTTGCCTGGTAATGCTAAAAATTAGAAGCAGGTGTGAACACCACCTCAGAGATGGGAAATGAGCTTCACTCCTTGCACATGGCAACAGAGAGAACGTGGAAGAGAGCAGGTTGGGAAGGATGTTGGCACATCGAGGCTTTGGCACAAACCCAAGGCGCTGGCTGAGCTAGTCGTGTCTGCTGCCGTTTGCTCTGACTCCATCACTCCATGAGCAGGGCAACGAGCAGCTTCTCAGACTGAGAGCCAAGGTCAGCCCTCCTGCAAGTTTCCTAAACTCAGCTGAAACAGTTCAAGGGGAAATTAACGTATGTTAATTCCTACATCAGCCTTATCTTAGAAAAGTGGTAGTTTTGTACAGTTATTGTTATGTAGCTTTGCCACAGGGAGAGGAGAGCTTTTCGCCTGAAACTTAAGAGGCACAGAGTGATCTCCTGGGGCTAGGAAGAGTGGATAAAACCAGTGGGGAAACTGAGGCTTATATGTTTCTTTGGGCTTATGTGTTTGATGGATTTTTCCTCTGAGCTGCTCATGCAGGTTTTGCAGCCAGCCAGGATAGCTCTCCTTAAAACAACTTAAAATCTTGTTGATGGGATGGAGAACGTGATGTGTCACTTGGTGAGAAAGTGGCAAACCTGAGCTCAGGACAGGACCTTCCTCTCACAGCATATGTTTTCCAGCCAGCATCCTGAGTAAGAAAGCAATGTTGTCAGAATAGCAGTATGTGCTCCTGTATCAGTGTTGGGCTGTGCTTTGCTTTTTGTTATTTCACCTTGCAGCCTTACTGCCGCGTAAAGTGAGCAGACGTGTCGTGCCTTTCAGATCTGCCTCCTGCAGCAATCCAGAAAGGCGCTTTGCTCCTAGGGCGAGTGCTACATCAGGTCTTTGATGGGATGAAGGCTCCTGCAGAGCTGTTCTCCCTGTGAGCCCATTGTGTGCAAAAGGCAGCAGAGGTTCTGCAGCCACAAGGCTCTTTGTTCTTGAATCATCTTGCTGTGGTCTATGGAGAGTTTGCTGACAGATGCTGCAGGCCCCATCAGCAATGATGTTTCAGAATGTTATTGCAGTAAATGCAACTCCAGCAGCTCTGTCTGTTTTGATTCCTTCCTTCTGGTGAGCACTATCAGCACGTAATTGAACGTTAGGGTTTTAATTTTGGGGCTTGAGTGATTCATTTGGTGAAGAACTGTTTTCTGTGCAGCTAGGTGGTGATACAGTTGCTGAATGGTGGGACCTGGCATGTAGGTATGTGATGGAGGAGGAGCAGCTTGGTCCTGTTTCTGCTTTTCTCTCTCATGAAAGTTTGTTACAACGCAGACCAGACTTGCGATGGAAAGGACTGAGAATTGTTCAGAGCTCTGTTTCTAATTGCTAATTGACCTTGTTCTTTAATAGTGATTGGGAATCCCAAAAGACAACAGTTTCTCTTTTAAGAGATCTCAGAAAGACGCCAGGATGCCACATCGCACCATTCATCTTTTCCGCAAGGGACTTCGGCTTCATGACAACCCAACGCTGCTGGCTGCGCTGGAGTCCTCAGAGGTTGTGTACCCTGTCTACATCCTGGATAGAAAATTCATGACGTCGGTGATGAACGTAGGGGCTCTGCGTTGGCATTTTCTGCTGCAATCCCTGGAGGATCTGCAAAAAAACTTGCTACAGCTGGACTCTTGCTTACTGATTATTCAAGGAGAGTACGAGTCTGTTCTTCGAGATCATGTCAAAAAGTGGAACATCACACAAGTGACTCTGGATGCGGAGATGGAACCATTTTACAAAGAGATGGAGGCCAACATACGAAGTCTGGGAGAAGAGTTGGGGTTTGAAGTGCTTTCTTTGATCGGCCACAGTCTTTATGATACCAAACGGTACGTGATTGCCTCATACACCAAGGAGGTGTCTCAAGGAAAGTTTATTTTAGATTTAACAACCATCAGGGAGAAAAGGCCAAGCATTTTGTTCCTTCTAGATCCTCATGTGTTCCTCAGAAAGCAGAGTTCTCTGTGATGAACCTGGTACTGCTTGCTGGAGAACTTTTGTGTGTTGATCTGCTAGAAGGAATTGTGAGAGGTTTTGGTGGGTTGCACAGGTGTTAGCATGTTGGGCTGTGATTTGAGCTAAAAGTTTGTTAATTTTCCCATTTTGACAGTTTAACTCACGTCAAATCCTAACATTAGCTACCCTTTTAAAAAGGGTGGAAGGAAGAAATTCTTCAACACGTTTAACAGGATTTTAGATCAATTTTTAGATCGATTTTTGTGTCCAGTTTTTTGGATCTTTCTAAACAACTTTCACTGAGGTCTGCATACACTTGGATCCAAGATGCTATTCAGACCTGAATGACTGAAGACACTGAAATTAAGAATAAGTGGGAGGTAATCGGTAATAGTTAAACCATTCTTAACATTCTGGTCCTGGAAAGTCCCTAATTCCTGTGAATGAATGGATGCGTGTGACTCGCCCTGTTAAATTCAAGCAGCCTGCATGCATGCGTGGTTGCTCGCATGGAAGAGTATTCACAGCCGCGAGCCTGTTCTTTGCGATCCAACTGCTTCTGGCAGCCTCAGATGCGTTGTGCGCTGTGTAGGCTGCTGCTCTGAGTACGTTTGGCAGAACAAAGCTGCCCAGCTGAGGCCGTGGCTGGGCTCCCAGTTGCGCATTTGCTATCTCAAGTCTTGAGAGACTCTCTCAGAATGGGTGTACATTCACCCAGGGAAGTTTTACTTGTAAAATGTGTGACTTCTGTGTTCACACCCACAAACTGGGGCTGTTCCAGCCTGTGCTGTTGCCTTCCTATTCACTGACAGCTCTGGTTTCCTTCTTGGCTTATATTATCATGAAAAATGGTGTTTTATTTAGGATTTTGGACCTGAACGGTGGGACTCCCCCATTAACATACAAGAGGTTTCTTCACATTCTGTCTCTGCTTGGGGACCCTGAGGTGCCTGTCCGAAACCTTACAGCTGAAGACTTCCAGTAAGTAATGCCGAAACAGCAGGTACTTGCTCTCTACCTGAAAGAAGAGCTTTGCCTAAATGATAATAGGGTGGTTTAGATGTTATGCTGCGTTATTTTTATGCATGGTGGGTTATAGATTTATACGTATAGGCAATATGAAGCTACTGCTTATCCTATAGGCTTCTGCTAGTGGGAGGGGAGAGCAGAAGAGAGGTGACAATGTCCAAACACTTAAGGTTTTGTGAAGCACATTTAGACAAACTTTTACAGCTATGTAGAAGTTTAACAAAGGAATGACTAATGAATCATGGGTTTCTTTCTTAAAGGCATTCTCTAGCTCCCTCACGAATCACAGATTCAAGGCAGGAATTGGATGGATGGTTATGGTTTGCTACATGTGGGAAGTTCAGTGGAATAATCATGCGGTTCCCTTCTGGCTTTTCCTTCTCTCCTCCCCTCTCCTGTATGGGAAGGAGGGACCCAGCTCATGTCTTCCAGGACTTAAAGAAGCTCCAAGTCAAGGATATTTTATGTTTTAGGTCTGCATGAGGAGAGGTTAGTGATTCAAAGGGAGGAAAGATCAGGGTGGGAGAGAGCTGGCCACTTGGGCTGGGAGTGCAGATACTGGAGACTTCTGTGTCAGGTGCTTCCTGCGTGAGACACCTCAGCTCTGTGTTGGTAAGCTAGGCTTTAGACCTTCCAGTCTTGAGGTTTCCTATTAATTCCTGAATGCTCAGGAATGCTCTTGGATGCCAAGTATTGGGATAAATCAGTTCCTGGAATTTCTTGCACTGTTTTTTTTTCCCCTAATGTGTTTATTCCCACATTTTTATTTTATTTTGTTAACTGTTGATGAGAGTTAAGTGGTTCACATGCTTCCTAGCACTGGCATAACACAGGCCTGCCATGAGAGCTGCACTGGCCCCTTCTTCTGTAGGTGTCTGCACCAGAGCTGAGCTCCATTTTTCCAGGTGAGTAGAAAGAGCTCTCTTAGTCTCTGATCTCATTCATGGTCTTGCTGAGAAGTCTGGATGCTGCCAACACTCTCCTGACCCTCCTCTTCTCTTCTGTCTTTTGCAGGGGGAAAATTGCACCTTGGTGCTCTTCCAGCCTCACAGGAGGCAGAGGCCTTGGAGAAAGCTCAGCAGCTGTGGCTGCAGAAGAGAAGTGGGGGGAATGCTCTAAGCCACAGGCATAGGAGAGCAAGGAGCCACTGGCTGGGGCTGGGAGAGCCCCCACCTTGGTTAGGAAGAAGCAGCTGGGGCGGTGGCACAGGTTGCTGCTCTACCTTCTTCCCTGTGAAACCTCTCCCAGAGCACACGGGAACTGGAGCAGGACAGGCCCTTGGAGACGGTGCCGATGTCCCGTATTTATGTTAAGAGTCTGGGGGGGCTCTTAGCTCCCTTCCAGAGACAGGTGAGGCAGCTGGGGGAAGCTGGACAGAAGGTGCCTTCGAGCTCCTGGAGGCAGAGCTCTGTGCAGATGGTCACTCTGACCAGTGCCACTTTGTTCCTCTTAGCTCAGTCTGGCTAGGACCCAACCTGGTGCTCTGGCCTTTCATGCCACAGCTTTTTCTCATGCTTGGCCCGGACCCAGCTGTCTCGGAAGGTCTGTCTTCATTCCTGCCCCTCTAAAGGGTTAAAGAATGAATTCTTGTTCCCCAAGGAAAGTTTCTGGGGTTTCCGGCTGTATTCTTGTTCCCTTTGCTCTAGCTGTGCTGTGACAGAGGAGATTTCCTTGGCATGTGCAACGGGCAGGGGTCTACCTCCCTCTTTTGGTTCTGATTCCCTCTTTGAAAGAAGCCTTCCTTTCATATTAGGAGATGTAGGCCCCCTGATCTGTGCCTGGCTGAGTGTTACAGGGTGCCTCTCCCCGTGGATTTGAAGATCCCCCCAGAGAACCTCTCCCCCTGGAAAGGAGGGGAAACTGAAGGGCTGCAGCGCCTGGAGCAACACTTGATGAACCAGGTCAGTCCTGATTTTATGTGGGTGATGCTAATGGCTCTGGGCTGATTCAGGTTAGTGTCATCCTCCCTCCTACGTGTGGTTGTGTCTGGACTTCAGGAAACCACTCAGCCCTGGAGCCATTTCTTCTGTCTCTAGCTGAGGTTTTCCCTGCCAGGGCTTAGCTCCCGGCAGGCCAGACCTGCCTTGGCACTGGCTGTTTCTAAGCAGACGTTTTACCTGCTCCTAATTTCATAAAGTGTGAAAGATCTTCAGGGTGGTCCTGTTTTATCTAGCGAGCTATTCCCTGCCTTACAAAATCAGCCAGCTCCGAGGAGAACAGCTTTATAGCACCTGTGGATTGGATGCAGCCTTGAAGCTGGCCTCAGAGGAGGTTGATGTGTTTGGAGATCCTGGAAGAGGATGGCAACGTGGCCTCAAGATTTTGTTATCCTTGAGGGCAGTGTTTGCTGGAGGCCTGGGTGATAGGACTATTTTCCATGCCCAGCACTGAACAGATCTCCATGACGAAGAAGCCAATAGCTGAGCGCTCTTTCCTTTTTCATTGCTGGATGTGTGTCCCCTTGCACTGCTTAAACCTGGATTTCTGTTTTTGTTTTAGGGCTGGGTGGCAAGTTTTACTAAACCAAGAACAATTCCAAATTCGCTGCTTCCAAGCACCACAGGCCTGAGCCCATATTTCAGTTTGGGATGTCTGTCAGTTCGCACCTTTTTTTATAGATTGTCAAACATTTATGCTCAGGTAAGAAAATACCTTGTCATAGTCAAGCAAATGCAACACTCCTACACATCTGGCATGTGATGCTAGGATTTAGCACTCGCGTTATTTTGGTAGAGACCTGGTGCAAGCAAAAATGCTGCCCTACTAATGTCTTCTCACAATGTCCTACGAAATCTGTGAACTGACTTTATAGGTTTTGTGAAACACCTGTAATTGTATAGGGCTTTTCCCAACTAAGTTCTAGAAATGCGATAAATAGGGAGCACTGAGAGCTGGAAAAAGCAGGGAATCCCAGGAAAACTCACCTAAAATAAAAGCAATTCAAGGTGTCTGCCTGGTGTTTAATGAGGTTTTTTTTTTTTTTTAATCAATTTAGTCTGTTCAAGCAGCTTTGTTTATAGAAAGTGTCTGTTTTCATCCTATGTTTTAACTATAGTATAAGCCAAAACCAGATTCTGAAAACTTGATTCTTAAGAAGAAAGTATGTTTTGAACCATCCCATGAAAATGTCACTCTGAACCTCAGAGAATCTCTGAGACGTGGCTGAGCCGCCTGAATTCAGCTAGCCAAGCAGTTAGTATGTTGATAAATACATGTTTGGTTTAAGAAAAAATTGCAGTGTGATTCTGCCTTGGAAGGTGGATTGAGAATGCTTGAGGAAATGCTAAGGTCTAGCAGAGTTCAGCTTTCTCTGCAGAAAGAGTTGCTTTAGATCTTGGGTTCTTTGGCTTTCATGGTAAAGTGCTGTAAAGCCTGTGATGTAGTTATATTCATCTTTATTTTATGGGCCTGGTAGGCACAAAATAAGTGGAATTGCAATGATATGTATGAACTGAAGCTTTGATCTTGTGTCTTTTGCAGTCCAAACACCACTCTCTGCCCCCGGTGTCGCTCCAAGGGCAGCTTCTGTGGAGGGAATTCTTCTACACGGTGGCATCAGCAACACCAAACTTCACCAAAATGGCTGGGAACCCCATCTGCCTTCAGATCAATTGGTACGAGGATGCAGAGAGGCTCCACAAATGGAAAACGGTAACAAGACGCAGTGCCACAACTGCTACGTTTTGGTTCAGAGCTTTTCCATTACCAGAGATTGTTCCCTGCTGGCTTTTTGAGATGGTGCTTACAGCAGTGCACAGGAGACTGGTGTAACGAAGGTCGGTGCAGGAGGGCTGATGTTTCTTTCCTGCCTCAGGCTCAGACGGGGTTTCCGTGGATTGACGCGATTATGACCCAGCTCCGCCAGGAAGGCTGGATTCACCATCTTGCTCGGCACGCTGCTGCCTGCTTCCTGACGCGGGGGGACCTTTGGATCAGCTGGGAAGAGGGCATGAAGGTTCACATCTGTTTTGTTTTTGTTTCTTTCTTTCTTTGCTTGCTTGTTCCCCCTGCCCCCTTTTCGCTGTGCAGTTCTCTATTCTGGTTGGTCTTGACAAATCCCTGCAAAAATGTGAACCTGGCAGTGGGAAGTGGTACTGTAGAACAGTGCTTTGTCACTGTGCATCCCCAGAAATCTCATGGTTTATAAAAACAATACTTCAAAGTCTTTCACTTGGATGGGATTCCTGCTTTGCTGGGTACAGTGATGAGAGGGCACTCCCATCCTTAAGACCCAATGATCTTGGATGACAGTGATATTGGGGACCTGCTCTGTCTGTAGCAGGCGTCAGAGCCAGACCTTTGGGATTTGGGTTCCTCTGTCACTGCGTCCTCCTCGTCTTCCTTCTGGAAAACTGCCTTGCTGGAGCTCGTTCCCTGTGCGAGAGGGATAGCCCAGATCAGCGCAGTGCTGTGCTTTTAGCAGCAAGCTTCTTCCTTCATCTCCCTGTGGCTTTTTGTGATGTAGGCAGCCATTTCAGGGGTATTTCTCTCTTTCTCTTCCCATCCCCAAAATGCAGGTGTTTGAAGAGATGCTTTTAGATGCTGACTACAGCATCAATGCAGGGAACTGGATGTGGCTATCGGCCAGCGCGTTCTTCCACCAGTACACACGCATCTTCTGTCCCGTCCGTTTTGGGAAACGCACAGACCCTGAGGGGCAGTACATCCGGTAGGGAGATACACAACCGCGTGGCACCGTCTGCTCCACTAGTGCTTCCCTCTTACAGCAGGAGCAGACGAACTCAGTCTGCACAACATGCAAACCCTTGTGAAACAGGGGTCCTAGCAATGATATGTTTTTGTACATAAGGAAACGGAGGCACAGAAGCCAAGAGGCATACCTGTGGTCACGCAGTGACGACTGAGCGGGGAATCGTATCAGTTGATGAGCACCTGTTGGCTCTAGTCCCACGTTCAATCACTGGGCTGACTTATTTTCCTAGATGACTTCTGTGAAACTTTCCACAGCTCCCCCCACTCCAGTCCCTGCTGTGTTTCCTGGACTTTCATTTAAAAGAAACTTGGATTTTGTTTTCCACTCTGCTTTGAGTGAGTCACGCTTGCTTCTAAGCCTCAGTATCCTTATTTTTAGAATGGGAATAATGTTAGTCTCTCTTTGAGATGTGGCTGAGCCCTATTGGTAGGACATGCTATATATGGTATTATTGCAATTATCTCCTTGTCGCTGGTAAAGGTACTGATTAGTCTTTCTCATAAATAGTGGGTGGTTTTGCAGCTGATTTCAATAGGCGTAGGTTGTGTTGATGTCTGTCTGAAGAAGTAGCTCCTTTTCCCCAAATCTCCTCCTCCTCATGTTGTATCTGGCTGTGCCTCTTACTTGTTAAGATGAAGCCCATGCTGACGTACCTGACAGATTTGGGCAGGCAATGACTTATTTTGTAAGACTTTATTTATTTATTTTTTTAAATTAAGGAAACTTTAGGACAAACGTCAGTGAAAATGTTGAGAGCTAAAACATTTGGGTAAAGTCAAAATTGAAACAGTATTTAAATCAGCCACTTTATTCTTTGCTGTAAAGTTAACTTTTGGAATATATCACCATGAGGAGATTTCAGAACAGAAAAATAGTTCATTTGTGCAAAATGAATCACAACTTTCCCATGGACTGTGGAAACAATATGATTATCAGGAATTAACATGGCTTAGGTTGCTTTATACTTCTCTTAAATATATGAATATTTGTCTGCAGGACTGTAGAAACAGTAGCTACAGAAACGCTGTATTATTCCTGTTTTGTAGGAAGTACCTGCCTATACTAAAGAACTTTCCTTCCAAGTACATCTATGAGCCCTGGATAGCATCTGAAGAGGAGCAGAAGCAAGCAGGATGTATCATAGGTAATTCTGACACCATGCAAATGAACTTGCTCCGGACAGCTGTCCAAAATAAGTATATGCATGAGATGGAAGGTTCGTGCTTCCAGTGAGAATCATCCATTTATCTTCTAAAATTGATTTATCCAACAGTCTAGCTTCCATCTATTCTCTTATAAAGCTGTTTAGTGGAGTGTGATGGTCTTGCTTCTGCTTCATGTCCGAGGACCATTGGATCACCCCAAGTTGTTGCCTTTGCATTTTTCTTTCTTGGACACTTGGCTGTCTGTAAATAGTATCTGAGCACCTTATGCTTTTATGCTTATTCTAACATACTTTTGAGGACAGGGCAGGGCCCTCATCCCTGTTAATGGATGGGAAACCGAGGCCTAGAGCGTCTAACACAGGGATTTGTCTCTTATAAGATCGCATCTAAATAGGAGCTAGTTGGCCCTGGCTCTTACAGTTCATGGAGAGAGAAAGCCACTTCTGAAGGGTGAATCATGTGGTCTATCTCGGATGCCCCATATTTTAGGAAAAACTGCTTGCTCTGATGCAAAATCAGTGAAGTGGCATTGACTAGTTCTGCAAACACTGCTATTTGCATGTTTAATCAGGTCAAGATTACCCCTTCCCAATGGTGAACCACAAGGAAGCCAGCGATCACAACCTGCAGCTGATGAAACAGGTCAGAGAGGAGCAGTACAGAACAGCTCAGCTCACGAGAGGTAAGAGGTGCTGCAGTGCTGTGTTCAGTGTGGTGCAGTGCAGAGGCTATCATTGGGGAACTGATGGATTTGGGGTTAGTTTCATGTTCTGGGACTTCTCTTGGTTACAAACACTAGGCACTGTCGTTCTAGTTATTGTTAAAACGTTTCCCCCTTGGGACACCCAGAGGGATCAGTGTCCCTTCTCTTTTGGCTGCCCTGGTAGGATGGGCGCTCCCTTGTTCCTTCTGGAGGAACAAAGCTTTCCCAAAAGCAGACCTTCTCTGCAACACAGACCTTCTGTAGGTCTGCAGAAATGCCCTGCCTAAACCGCAGTTTTGCCAGGCATGTCTCCAACACGCAGAAATCTCTGCAGCCCTGCCTGCACCTCTTAAGCTGGACCTGCTGCCCAGGTGAACCAGAGCATCATTGCTTGTCCTTTTTAACCAGTCTGCCCTGCTCCATGACAGGAAATATTTGAGATTCCCCTTGGCCACAAATGAGTGAAAAGCCCTTAAGAGAGTGAGTCAAGCTTTGCTTTAAGAAAGTTACCTTTTCACCTTATTTTCTAAATGGCTTAAGCATATGTATAGTAAGCTGGTAGTTATCAGATAAGGCTGGAATGCTCAGGAACTCTGGGCGAGCCAGAATTGATTAGGTATTTCCAATCACACAGAAATACCACTTATATGGTGGTACCTACGCTGCTAACGTTGAAATCCTAGACCCTCTGATGAGCTTTGTGCCTCAGAGGAATCCCATGCAGGAAGAGAAGTGGAAACAATACTTTTGTATTTACACAGTATGCCCCAGCAGCCTGTATATGTATTCCAAAAACCCATGGTGCAGCAGCTGATGGGAGTCTCCAAGTATTCCTGCATTGATTTGTATCGTCAGATGGAGCTAATCGTTCCCAGTCTTGTGCAAATTAATGTATCCAGCAGGTTGCAGACTGGTACCTTCCAGATATGACTGCATATGCTGACAGTTCTCCA